ATACATACATACATACACATAATATGCATTCTAAAACTTATTTCAGTCAGGCCTTCAGAGCGCAGCCAACCGGTCAACGGCCCACTGTACTCGGGCCAAAACTACCAATGGCCATGTCAGGCAAGTGCGAACTCGAGTGGAGCCCGTGGAATTCATGCTTCGCATGCGTAAACTTACTATCTATCACACATGTAGAATGTAGACACAGGGTTACGGGCTTTGTGTCTAGGATAGATATGAACAGATTTTGAGAATATGCTTTGAACGTGAAATACATGCTAGTATGCCCAACAAAAATACCGTTGTTTTCCCATGCTGAGACTTTCGATCACTCAGACGGCAGCCAAGACAGTCAGCCTGCTCATGAAGCTACCGGTGGCCATGTCCAGATGAATGCGAGCTCGAGTGACTCGAGTGGTGTGAGGAGTGGGTCGTATGTGTGCTGTGTGTAGAGTGTGTCTGAGGATGATGTGTCGGCTGGGTGGCATGCGTCTGGGAACGCTGAGCAGGCTGTGCGGCATGAGTTTCGGAATGCTGCATCGGTGGCTGTATGGAGTGAGTCCCGGAGTGCTGCTGCGTAGAGTGTGTCTCAGAGTGTGTCGGCTGCGGCTGGGTGACATGCGTCTGGGAACGCTGCGCAGGCTGTGTTGCATGAGCTTCGGAATGCTGAATGGGTGGCGTCCCGGAGTGCTGCAGCGTGTGTTTTTTGGCGTGCATATCGGAGCGAGTCTCCGAATCCTGAATGGACCGCTGTGAGGCGTGTGGAGTCTTGGGCGCCTCATGCTCGTGAGCTGGGGGCGCCGGCGTGGGCCGGGTTAGGGCTCCAATCTCCCGCCCCGGAAGACGAGAAGACCTCCAAAAGCGCACCGGAGCTCTTCGTGAGTGTGTCCGATTCCCCCTCAGAGGTTCCGATGTGTTCGTTGTGGGAGACCCGCGTCCCAAGAATCGTGGCAGCACCGCAGGCACACCTGGGCCAAAAGATAGACATTCAACACTTGTGCTTCCCGACAAAGCCTACCTAGGGGAGCTCCGGCGCCACACGAAATGCTAAGAACCGTAAACTCCCAGGCCCGAATTCCAAGACCCATCAGAAACCCGAAGCAGAAGGCTCATTATACGCAAGCAACGACCCGAAATAGGACGGTTAGTGTCTGACATAAGAGAGCCCGGACACCCGAACAGCTGGAGGTGACGGGCAGCCAGAGGCTCAATGAGGACGCGCTGCGCCAGAGGAGTCGAATGAGGAGCCCGAGGCACAACAGCAACAGCTTCGCCATGGCGATATCAGCTTGGGCGAAAAACCTAATTAAGCCCTACCCAAAACCCTAGTCTAGAGGCTGAGCTGAACCGATTTAGGGTGAAGGGTTAAAGCTTCAGGCTGATGGCTTGGCTGCTAGACTCGTGAGGTGCAGATCTACGAAGTCACAAGCGTCAGAGCAGCAACGGCGGTGAAGTAGAAACTGCCATGTAGATCCTATATGTAAAAGTTACATGAAAGCCACGAACAGCAGCACGGTGGTCATTGCAGATGAATCTCCCCCCTCAGTGGCCATGCTGTGAACCCGGAAGCGGCCCCCGGAAGCATAACAACCTACTAGAGTTTAGGGTTTAGGGATTATAAGGTTGCGCTGAACCTGGAAAATTAAGGCTTCGAAGTTTTGAGTTCAGGGCTCAGGGCAGAGGAGTTAGGTTTTTGGGCTTCAGGGTACCATCATCAGGGGTCAAGGGGTTTGGAGCTTAGGGTTTGAAGGTGTAGGTTCTAGAAGTTCTAGAGTTTAGGGTTTGGGTGTTCTTTTCTTTTTTGAACCCTCTTATCCCTCAGCTAGGACTTAGCGGTTCGGCATTGAGGGGTTTCCGTAGGGTTGGCGCCAGAATGACGCCGGCCTGCTAGCCGATGATGGGAAAGGTCCGCTCCATGGCCTCGTGTTGCCAAGGACGGCATAGGGCTCCTACACAGCTTTCCATTAAAAGGGAACCCTATTGTAGAAGCCTGTCATGCCCTTTAAACGAAACCATTATTGTAGAACCCTGCAGTACCCTAAGACGGAACCTTATTATAGAACCCTATAGTATCCTTTTCTTAGGATTCAACAAGTCTTGCGGCCGGGGGGTTGAAGGTTTTGGCGGTTTAGGGGCTTAAGATTTCAGGACTAGAGCTCATAAGCGCAAGATTTAGGACTTGGCTCTTGGAGGTTTGTTGAAGGGCATAAGCTTGGGAAAAAGTTAGGGGTATAGTGCTTCGAATCTTCTGCGATATAAGCCCTGGCGCTAGAGCCCTCCTGCCCCAGGGCCCTGCAGCTCGTGCCTTGAGGCCCCAAGGGAAGAAAAGCATTCCCCCAACCCCCAGTTTAGGGTTTAGGGTTTAAGAACAAAGTCCTGCATACTTCACCCTACACCTTAGAGGCCTAAGGCCCTAGGCCCTAAGTGCAGAAGTAAGTAGCTTCGGTTTCAAGAAACCACCAAGGAATTAAACCATGGGACTTGCTGCTCGCCGAAGGCTGGATCCATAAGATACTCTGTATCCAACACTAACCCTGAAACACCAAATGCTAAAAATACCAAGGCTGTATACAAACCTCAAAACCCCGGGCTGCGGCACACCTCTTGGAGGTTTTTCAGCAGCCACCAGTGGTACCTTAGCCCCGGTTCGAGCTTCGTGGTGTTATCGTGGCGGTTTGTGGTCTTAGATTGATAGGGTTAAGTTCGGTTTGAGAGTTAAGGCTCTGGGTTTACTGGTTTGGGGCCTACAGGGTTCATCTGAGAAGAACCTCCCGGTTTCTACGGGGTTTGGATTGTGTTCAGGCTCGGGGAGTTCTGGCTCGATGCGGGGCTGCCTGCGTATTTTTCCTGCGAGCATATTGTGAGAGGGTGGTGGTGGTGGTGGTGGTGGTGGTGGTGGTGGTGGTGGTTTGATGATTAGATTGGGGTCTGGAAGGGGCTGAGGTTTAGGTGAGATGGTGGTGATAATTGAGCACATTCATGCACAAAGCCAACATAGTTACTCACCATCGCCATGTTCATCAACACCACCACACGACCACACATCGCCATGGCCGTCACCATGACAGCTCCATCCACGCATCACTGTCCACACAACATGCATACACCACGTGTGGTGGAAATGATAATGGCAACCGCGCCAGTAGCAGTAGCCATCATCGACATCATCATCTTCTATCATTGTCAAAAAACCGTGTCACAGCTGTCAGTACATCATGCTGTTTCTAGGGTGACTATCATGTAATACGGGCACTGCTGGGCATCACCACCTCGACTGTTTACACGGGATCTCGTATGGCTACAGTGCCCCAGTGGGCCGTGGTCCTTCATAGCTCAGCGGGCATCCAAACCACCCTAGACTGCGCACCGTTTGGCCGGACTGCGAAGGCAGTGGGTGGGCTCAGCGAGCTTTTCAAGACACCCATCTACACCTCAATCCAAAACTGGGCCGAAACCCTGAACCCTCAACAACCAAAGCCCAAACCCGGCTCAGGGGACGCTTAACCCCGAACCCCGAAACCCAAACCCTGCTCGTAAAGGCAAGGCTCCATGGGCTTGCGACGAGCCGGCCGAAGGGGATGCCTTCTTCCCAGCCTTGACACATCTTCGGAGTTTGGGCCCTAATGGTCTAGGATTTACAGGGTTCGGGATCTAGAGTCTATAGGGCCAGGGTTTATGGTTTTTCAGTTGGGGACGAATCATGTTGGAAGCTCTAGGGCAAGGGCCGATCGAAGTCATTAATTCTGACATTGGGTTTAGGGTTTGAGCCACGGACCAGAAACTACATCCAAGCATCAAGCACAGCCCTGAAACACACGGCGAAAAGCCACCTAGCACGGCCCTTGCAAGAAAGATCTGAAGCCGGGAAGCCTAAACCTAAACCCTGTGATACAGCCGAGGTCCTACCCCCTATAGACACCCCATGAACCCTAACTCCCAAGACCCCATAAACACTAAAATCCCTAGACCCTACGATCAAATCCTGTAGTCTGCAAACACCATGAGCCAATGAATCCCATCAGCCTTATACGCTACAGCACCTCTCTAAATCCGCACAACCCTAAAACCAATGCCGATCAATGCCTGTGACACACAACCCTTCACTTAAACACTCGTAAACACCACATGGATAGGCATCTTAATACTTCTTGTTCAGTGCTCTACTTCAGGTTGCATGGTGTAGGTGCCGAGATTAGCCGTGTCGTGAGGCGATGCTGGTGCCACGTTTTGCTTCCACCGGTCTGTCTGGATTGCGAGGAGGGTTCAGAGTTTGCGGCTGGGAGCCTGGACCTGGGGTGGGGCTTTTGCCACCAGCCGGCTGTAGCTTTTCATGAGTTCCTCGGCAAGGGTGACCAGCTCGACAATATCGCGATTCACGCTGGAGTCTTCCTGAGATGCAACATCCCATGCGCCTGTTGCATGCATACCGAGGCCCCTCTTTCTGGGTTAGTAACGTGTTGTGGTTTGACTATGATAACGAAGTCTCCAGCATAGGAAGCTCTGTGTTTAGGGTTGTGGGCTTCTGTATAGTCGTTGAAGGCATGTCCCTTGATGAAGCTGCACTGAAGCCCCTTCAACGTCCTATACATTCCCTGGTCTCTGCAATACATCCCTACGGATGTTTCCATCAAGCCACCATCAAAACCGACACGGGCTTGATGGGGCTATGGAGACTGAACTCTAGACACCCTTTCTCTACTTTCCCCCAGTCCAGCAGCTGGAGAGTAAAGCTAAACTCCAAATCCGGATTCAGCTGAACGAACAACTACCACGAGGTACTCGTATCTATAGTACTGATCATTCATCCTATGTTTGGGGGTCAAGCAAGCCACATAGGGTTCAAGGTGGGGCTTAGGATTTGGGATTAGGGTCTTAGGTTGAGGACGCAGGATGTTTTGGCATCCTTGGGCGGTTTAGGGCCAGAGTTCAGAGATTAAGGTTTGGGTTTTTGTTGATTCTAAATTGCACTAGTTGCGGCCGCAGCCGAGGCCTGAAAGCAACCCGTAGATGAATGGTGGGCTCATGGGTTCTAGGAATCATGATTTGAGGATCTAGTCTAGTCAGCTTCGGACTACATTCCAACCCCATGGAAATCTTGTTGAAACTGTCGGGCTTGTGGGCAACTCCCTCGACATCGGCGTGTGGTTCATGCGAAACCCTGGCCTGAACAGTTTTGTCCTGCAACCCCGTAGCCTGTGCACACCACAATGCGACAGAATCATGCCCAGGGTGCGCGCTCCGTTCGAACATCCGCACCTTCGATCAAAGCCTCTGGGCGAGGCTTTGTGTGACTGTGTCCCGGGCGCAAGTGCCCTTGAGCGGATCTCTGAGAGGCTGAGAAGGCTCTCATAAGATTGCACGAGGTTGTAAGGTCGAGATTCACGCAGAGAGTTCGCGCTTAATGTGATGTGTAACTATCTGGATGTACAAACCCCACACCCCCACACTCCTGCGGACATGAACTTCTAGCTTTCAGGGGCCGATCTTCCCGGATTCAAACGACAGAACCCGAACGCGACATTGTGGCGATAAACAGCGATCTGGAACCAAGATGGCTTCCAAGGCTTTTGTGGCATCTTGGCTCTCGGATTCGGACAAATTCTGCTCGGCCCCCGAATTTGGAATGCTTAGAAGGCATAGAGTATCTTCAACTGTTGAGAACAGGCCCAGCTTCTTGCCAAACCCGACTCCCAAACCTATAACACAATATATAACATAATACACCAAAATGTGTGTGTGTGTTGTTTATTTGTATGTGTGTGTATATATATATATACATATACATATATCATATATCTATACACACACACTGATATATATTTTTTATGCATTATATGTGTCTTTTGACATTATAAGATATAGAGTAACCCTGAACCCAAAACGAAACTCCGAGGCCGACCTCGAGACGAGAAAGGGCCAAGACCAGCGAAGCCGCTGCTTGCGCCGGTCGGCAGTCGCCTGCCTCTGAACGGGTTTAGGGTTGAAGGGGTTTAGGGGTTTAGGGTTTAGGGATTTATCGTTTAGGGGTTTAGGGGTCAAAGGGTTTAGGGTTCACGGTTGGAGCCCTGAGCCGCAAGTTTGGAAGAACTTAGTCCCTGTGACGTTCTGATTTCAGACCTTGAACCACAGCACCCTAATCCACCAAGCCTCAACGCTGGACCCCAAACCAACAGCCCCAAATCCTAGAGCCCGGCCACAACTGTCAATTCCTGAGATGCTGGTTATCCCCATCCTCGGAAACCCAAGCCCTCAAATCTGGACCCAAGACCCTAAAACT